CCCTCTCCTCCCACCCACACCCGTCTCCTTCTCCCCATCCTTCCTTTGCCCAAAGAGCTTCCATAATGAAGGCAAAACATCGTGGTGATGCAAACTCACCTTTCCTTCGGAAGAGGTAAGCACTGAGGGCAGTTGACACCACTGAAAGCACGAGGAAGACACCCAGAGCTGCCATCCAGGGACGGGCATTGTGGAAAAAGGGAGCTGAGAAACAAAAAAACATTGGGAAAACACCTTATTTTACACCCCCGTTTCCTTCCTGCACTCCTGGCATGTTTATCCTGCCACATGACATCAAAACCCCCCCAAGCAGCACGGCCAACCCCAGCCCTGCTGCCAGACTGCACCTGAGATGTGCAGGGACGACGCCTGCTCCTGCTCCAGACGACTGTTCCTCACCACGCATGACACGTTCCCGTCTCCCTTCCCGCTCACAATGATGACATCTTGGATCTCAAAGAAGCCCCTCTCATCTGGGGAATGTCTCTGGAAGACTGAGGGGAGATGCTGCCCCTCGCCATCCCTCCACAGCACCTCCGGTGACGGGTACCAGCCGGCCGATCGACACACCACCCGGATGCCTCCATCCTCGTAAGCCTCCAGAGAGAGGAGAGGGACAGAGCCCAAGGCTGGGGGAAGAGCCCGGGGTTGCCCTGAGTTAGGGATGGACCCAGCTCAAAGGCCAAGACCCAACCCCACATCAGACCATCACAGGGTGCCCAGGGGGCTGTGGGGCCAGCCACATGCTCCTCACACCACCAAATCCACCCCAACATCTGCAGGACCAGAGAGCACTGATGCCAAATGACCCCAGATCTGCCATAGCACAGCCTGGCAGAGCAGCACCGAGCAGCCCCACATCAGACCATCACAGGGTGCCCAGGGGGCTGTGGGGCCAGCCACATGCTCCTCACACCACCAAATCCACCCCAACATCTGCAGGACCAGAGAGCACTGATGCCAAATGACCCCAGATCTGCCATAGCACAGCCTGGCAGAGCAGCACCGAGCAGCCGAGCTTCATCACCTCAAGGCAGCGTCTCTGCATCATCACAGCATCATGAGGACACCAGAGAGACCCAAAGCTACTGTGTCCATGCCGCCTGCCCCCCAAACCCCTCTAGCACCACGGGCGTGCTCCCTCCTGGGCAGGCACAGATGGGAAAAGTCCCCCTCACACCCAATCTCTCTCAGCGGCTCTTGGCCTTTGGCACCAAATGGATGGATGTGAGGATGGGACAGAGCTCTGGGAGGGACACACCAACCCAGGGACACCTGCACCATATGCAGGAAACACCACAGTGACTACAAACCTGCCACCTTCAGTTCCACCACAGCTTCTCCATAAGAGGAAGCATCTTGCACAGTGCAGACGTACTGGCCATCGTCAGAGGGTCTCAACCCTCTGATTCTCAAGTCCAAGCTCCCACGGGAGAGACCATCTCTGGCCAACTCTGTCCTTCCAATGTATTCCTCCATCTGCTCCCAGTACTGGTCTGCTCCATTTTGGTAGAGGTGCACTGTTTCAGCGAGCTGGTGCCGGATCCACCTGATCTCCAAGCTCGAAGCATCCATGTGTGGGGACAAGTGACAGGGCAGCACGACATCCTGTCCCACGGTGGCAAGGAGAGGTTGGCCTGGTCCCACCACTCTGAACTGTGCTGGGTGACAGAGAAGGATGCAGAGAGATGGAGATTGCGCCCACCTTAATTTACAGGCATTGCATGGCAAGGGGCCATGTTGGCTTGAGCAGTGCCCGCTCCATCCCATGGGTGTTGCTTTGCCCTCCCTGTGGCCCAAAGACACTGGAGAAACTGGAGAGGGAGCAGGAGAACTTGAAGGAGAAGGAGGTTTCCTGGGAACCTGCTCCTACCTCATCACCCCTACCTCAGCCAGCCCTGGTAGAAGGGAAAAAGGCTTTGGGGAAGCACCATGTGATGGGACTGACGATGTCCCAGGGCAATGGACGTGTGGCATCAAGACCCCAGGGGAAAGTGAAAGCAATGTACAGCTGAGCTCTGGGCTCAGTTCCTCCTGCCCCACAGCACCTCCCCTGCCCCACATTGGCCACCCAGAGCACACTCAGCCCTCCCAGCCCTGCAGGATCCCTACCTGATCCCAGCCGGAGGAGGTGGAGAGTCAGGAAATGACTGAGGAGGCCCCATGGGCTCGTGGGGAACCCCATCTGCGTCCGGAGCTGGAGGAGAGGGTGGGAAGGGAGGCAGAGGGAGGGCAAGGGGGGGTTACAGCCAATGCAGAGGGGATGGGGAAGAAGGGCTGCACCTGCCCCCAACGGGGCTCCAGAAATCCCACCAAACCACCTGCACCCTGACGTTGGAAGGAACCCTTGGTCAAGGGCATGATGGGATGCACACATGGCTCCCAGGGCAGCCCCTGTTATGCCCCACTGCCCTCCCCAGGATTTACTCTAAATCCCTTACAAGATTTTAAGTGAAATTAAATATTCTAAATTCCTTGCAGAAAGGAAATTCACCCCCCGGACCTGTACGAGCCGCCAGAGGAAGCAGCCAACAGGATACATCTCACACTTATCCTCTCTTTCCAGATGCAGCATCAGGGGTTTTTTGGCCTGACTTCACAGAATTGTATCACGGAATTGTAGTGGTTGGAAGGGACCTCAGAGATCATCAAGTCCAACCACAAAAAAAAACCCCAAAAAAACCCAAAAAACGACAAACAACACCAGCTCCCACCACCTAAACACACAACAACAACCTCCAACCAAAAAACCATCACCCACCCACACAACATCCCACCACAAACCAGTAATCTTGGGCACTAGAGCATGCCCTGAAGAACCATGTCTACACGTTTCTTAAATACCTCCAGGGATGGTGACTCCACCACGTCCCTGGGCAGCCCATTCCAATGCCTGACAACCCTTTCAGTAAAGAAATGTTTCCTAATATCCAACCTGAACTTCCCCTGGCGTAATTTGAAGCCGTTACCCCTTGTCCTGACATCTGTAACTTGGGAGAAGAGATCGACCCCCGTCTCTCCACAGCCTCCTTTCAGGTACTTGTACAGAGCTATAAGGTCGCCCCTCAGTCTCCTCTTTCCCAGACTGAACAACCCCAGCTCCCTCAGCCTCTCCTCGTAAGACTTGTGCTCCAGACCCCTCACCAGCTTCGTTGCCCTTCTCTGGACCCGCTCCAGCCCCTCAATGTCCCTCTTGTGGTGGGGGGCCCAAAATTGGACACAGTACTCGAGGTGGGGTCTCACCAGGGCCGAGTACAGGGGGACGATCACCTCTTGGGCTCTACTCGCCACACTGTTCCTGATACAGGCCAGGATGCTGTTGGCCTTCTTGGCCACCTGGGCACACTGCTGGCTCAGACTTCAAACTCTATCCCCAGCACTTGAACACATTAAGGAGGCGAAAGAAGGAAAAAAGTGGAGGAAGGCAAAATATGTGGTTGCGAGCAGGTTAAGGTTAATTTAGAGCTTCATTGTCATTTTTTGGACATGGCATAGGAGCCCAGCAGTGTCCCTGCAGCCCTACAACCGCCCAGAGCTTGTGGGGATCCAGGGATGAAGGGACAAGAAGGGTTTGGACACGGATTTGAGTGTCAGGACACCCCAGCTGTACCCTGTCACCCTGGGGACATCAGATCCCTGGGGAGGACATGTCCCCTGCTGTCCCCACTGTCACAAATTATGCAGGGGGAGCCCATGCCCAAAACAAGAGATGCCGGGGGGTTCAGGGCTGTGGTGGGTATTTGCCCGGTTGGAGGGTCAGAAGCGGAAAAGTATAGAGGGGTCCCACTCGCAGGGAGGAGGCTACAGGAGGAGTGACCCCCAGATTGACCAAGGAGGAGTTCCATCCCATCTACCCCAGACTCAGTGTAAAAGCTGAGGGATCAGCTTTTTCTTCGATGGCCAACGTCCAAGGAGGACCCTGTCTCTTCGTCTGCCTTTGATCCCGATCCCTGCTTTCCTGACCCCAGAGCTGGAATCCAGTTCCCTCCCATCACTGAGTCCAATCTGGGGCTTCCCCAATGCCTGCCGGTGATGTCATCTTGGGAGTCTGACACCCTTTTGTACCTATTTCATTATTTTCCTTTTTATCTTATTATTTATATTCCACTAAAGTAGTTTAGTTCCTGCTGAACTCATAGATCTCTTTCTCTTCCCTCCTCCTCTCCTGGGAGTGAGAGGTGGGGGCAGAGCATCTGTCACCATCATGGGCCAACTCAGCCTAAATCACCACATAAATATACAAATTTATGAAAATATAAAGTTATAAAAAAGAATAAATCCCATTTTCCCACTTTTTTCCCAGCTTTCTCTTTTCCAGTTGTTCATTTGAGGTCCCATTTCCCTCACCCAGATCTCTCCCAGTCTGCCCAGTTCCCTGGCTCACTTTCCATTTCTAGTTTAATTTTTTCCATTTGTCTATTATTTTTCTGAGGTTTGAGAGCAACTGGGCTGCCAGTCGGGAGAACTGGGAGGTGCTGGGAGCCTCTTGGGTGAACTGGTGAGAACGGGGCTTGAGCCCAGGGTGGGAATAATGAAAAAAAGCCCAATTGAAAAAAAAACCCAAACAAAAAAAGAGGAAAAAGAGAAAAAAAGAGAAAAAAAAACAGACTAAAGACGTGCTTTTCCCCTCTTGGATGGGATTTCTTAGAGTCTCAAAGGTCCCAGCAGGAAAATACTGCTTTTAATTTTAATTTTTTGCTTTGGTTTTTATTACTATTGTAATTTTTTCTTTTATTTTAATTTCACTTTTTCATTTTAGTTTTTATTTTCAATTGTAGTCTTTGATTTTATTTTTATTAATTGCATTTTTATTTTTTATTTCGATGGGTTTATTTTTAATTATTACTCTTTTTTTTGTTTCTACATGCGGGCTTTGTCAGCCTCATGGAAAGTTTTTGCAGTGAGTGCTTTCTGCACTCTGCAGAAGCGGCAGCTCCAGTGGTGTGTGACCGTTGCTTAAAAAAAATAAACAATAAAAAATTAGGATTTTGGTTTAAAAAAAACAGTTAACTTCAGTGCAAAAAACCTATTTTTTCCATATTTTCACAACTGGATGAATTAGTTTGATTTATTGGGGGTGAGGGAAAGGATAGGGGTCTTGGCTCAATGCTGTGAGTTGCCAGGAGGTGGTGCCATGAAAAAAAGATTTTTTTTTATATATTTATATATGTCTATTGATCCATACATATAAATATATATTTTTATATAAGAACACTTTAGTTCATATCTATAATTTTATATAAAATATATACAATATATAAAATTATATAAAATATATATTTGTATTTTTATATTTTTATTTTTATATATAATTAATTTTTTCCTCTCTTTTTTTATGGGCTGGAGAGAACCTCCTCCTTGTTGCACCCTTTTGGGTGTGACTAAAACCAAACCAAAACCCATAAAAAAAACCCCAAAATAACCCAAACCCAGCTGGAAATTCAACAAAAAGAGGTGAAGCAGGAGCTGAGAGAGAAAGATCCCTCAGGCAGCCCCTTCCCCCTCTGCCCTGAAGGATCCTCATGAAAATCCCCCAGAAAAAAAAACCAACCCAAACCATGAAATTATTTAATTTTGTTAAGTCTTACTACTTTCCATTTCTCTCTGCAGGAAAGGGGCGCACAGTGGCATCTGCACTTCCCAAAGCCAAGTGAGGGGCTGGGGGTAAACTTGGGGGGAACATTTTAACTAGGGAGGGGAGGGGAGATTTTAACTGGGAGGAGAAAATTTTAATTGCAGGGGGATTTGAATTGGAGGCGAAAACTTTAATTGTGGGGAGAAGAGTTTAATTAGGGGAGAAAATTATACAGTTGAAAAAATCACCCTTAAATTAACATATAATCAAGGGATGTGCCGTTTCTCACCCAAATTTCCCCCGCTGGATTGTTACAGGTAGATGAGGAGCGGAAAATAACCACAACCAACCACTGCAAAACCCCTTTCAATCCAAAATAAAGATCCCGAGGGCAAAGCACAGGGAAATCCCCTTTCCTCCTCTTGTTGATGGGACGGGGACAGTGCTCAGAATCCCCGTCTTTCCCCCAAAAAGGCAGCAGGGTGATGCTAGGATTTTCCCCTCCATGAAAGCACTGAGGTTTCCCCCTTTTTCTAACCTTTTGGGTTTTTCCCTGGTGGCACCGGCGCCCTTTTGGGGTTCCTCCAGCTGCTTGTCCTCCACCGGCTTCTTCTCCGCTTGGTGGGTTTTTTTCCCCCTATCTTGGGGTTTTTTCCCTCTTTTGGGTTTTTTTCCCCCCCCTCTTCTCTAGCAAAAGTTCTTCTCTGACTCAGCAAAAGCTCTGTCCCGTGTCTGTCTCCGCAAGCTTTTATCAGCCGAGGAGGGAGAAGACTGCAATCTCCCACCCGCAGACATCAGATGCCTCCTGCACCCTCCCATTGCACCTTTTCCCCACCCCATTTCTGAGCCATTTTATCTCTCAACGTCCAGGGGGGGGAAGGGAGAAAAAAGGTGGTGCAAAAAAATGTGCATTATCGCGCCGCAAGTACAAAATTTCTTAATTTTTACCCCCCAAAATATGACGGCAGCTCCTTCCGTGGGAGCAAGGCAAAGCGGAGCTGATGGGAGCGGTGAGGGATGAGAGAGAAAAGCCTGGAAATGATAAAATGAGAAAAGCCTCCCCAACCTGGGGGAGATAAAACATATTTAAAGTCATCCATGCCTTAGAACCCGCCAGGTCTCTCCCCACCATTCTCCCCAAAATGGTGGAAAGTGTAAATATTTTAATTTCTTGGTGGGAAAGCAAAGATACGGCACCTGTTGGGAGAAACTTCAAGTGAGTTGATTCCCACTTTTGAGGGAAAAGCCCCCCCAAAGTGCTGCCCAGGGTGGGGCTGGACCCCCTTTTTCTCCCTTTCCCTGAATTTTTAGGATATTTGGAGCATCCCAAGCAGGTATTTGGCACTTGTTTGCTTTCCCCCATGTTCCCTGACTGTGGAGAGGGTGAAAGATCCTGACAGTGTTTTGACAGAATCCATAGATTTGAGAGGATTCTGTTATTTGAGGGAATTCAGGGGTAATTGGGAGGTATCTGGGGAGAATTCCATTGTTTTGGGAGAACTGAGAGGTACTTGGGGAAGAATAGAGGGGTATTTGGGGAAGAATTGAGGCTTTGGGACAAGAATTCAGAGATATTTGGGACGATTCAGAGGTGTTTGGGGATAATTCAAATATTTAAAGAGAATTCAGAGGCATTTGTGAGGAGTTCAGAGGCTTTTTAATTTTTTTTTTTTTTTTTGAGAATTTAGAGGTATTTGAGGATAATTCAGAGTTATTTTGGGAGCAAGTCAGAAGCATCTGGGGCAATTCAGAGGTATCTTGGGGGAAGTCAGAGATGTTTGAGGAGGAATTAAGAGTTCTTTGGGGAGAAACCAGAGGCATTTGGGGGTAAGGGGAGGCGGAGGGGGTGGAGCGGACCTGGTTGGGAACCGCGGCGGTGCCCCCCCCGCAGCGGGGCGTGCTGGGTCGGACCTGATGGAGAACCCCCCGATCGCTCGCCTCCGCCGTTGGCAGCGCTTTCCCGGCCCCGGCGCCCCAAGAGCCCCGAACTGGGGGGATTTCGTGCCGGCGCTGGGGGGAAACTCCATGGAGCTGCCGCGCCTTGGCTTCGGCGTTGGAACCTCTTCTCGTTTGCACCCATCGGCTAATTAGGAGACTGTCCTCATCAGTGGGGGCTCCTCCTCCTCCTCCTGATTGTATTCTCCCTTCCAATTAAAGGTCTAATTCAATGGGAATTGACAGCTCATGCTCAGCAAGGAGATGTGGAGGTGCGGGTTTGGGGTTATAAGGAGCCCGGTTCCCCTCAAGGACACGTAGGTTTTTATTTTCAAAAGCTTTGTAATGCCCAGCAACTTTGCAGTTTTAGTATAACGCCCCAGTTTTCCCCAGTTTGGTTCGCTCGTGTCTTTTTGCTCTCTACACCGCACTACAACGCGCCTCTTGCCTTCCCTGGGGCTGTCTAGCTGAGATGTGTTTCTCCTGCTTTCCATGCTGGCACTTTCCATCCTGGCTTTGGGAGCATTGGAGGACACGGCCGGGAGGGGGGAGCTGCCCCCCGGTGTCTTCTCCCCACAGCGCTGTCAGTGTGGGTGCAGGCAGCAGGACAGCTTTGACAGCTTTGATCTGCTTTCCCAGGCAGGGACATCTAGGGACAAGACAAGAACTTAATGGACCTTCATCTGAACCCCTGGCTCTGCTGTATCTTCTCAAGGAACAAGCCCAGGCTCTTCCTTGACTAAAGCCCAGCATGTCAGAGCTCACCCTGAGCCAGCACCAAAAGGAGTAGCCCCATTTCCAGGTGTTTCTGGCCAATTCTGACTCCCCACTTTGCACATGGAGTCAGGCTGGGACCCAGCTGCAAATGACTCCAGCTCCTGGCTTGCAGCTGACTTTTCCCCACCTCTATTCCCACAGATTTGCTGGGTTTGAGGGGGCAGAAAATGCAGGTTTCTCATCTCCCTGTGGCTTTTAGAGAGGAAGGAGGATGACTTTTTCTTCCTCCAGTTTTCTTAAGCAATTTCCAAAGAAGACCCAAGGAAGTAAAAACCAAAGAAAAGCACACTCATAAGGCAGAGATGATTTAGAATTGCACCTTTACTTTTAACTCCCCATCAGTGCATGTTTGCAGGCACCCAGGAAGAGCCATTTAGCAATAAAAAGTTGAAAATATAGTTTAAGACACAGAAATACTCTCATTTTGCACTAAAAGAAAGGAACCTGGACACTGCTACCCTTTCCCTGTCTCTTTGGTGGAACTAGGACAAAACCCAGTCAGTGGTTTCTTTCCCAAGGGTAAGTTGATGGCTTTGGGGGCTGGGTTTCTTTTTTGTCCTGTGTCTTAGGGAAGAAACCTGAGTTGAATATCCCCGATCACCATGAACCATGGAAAGACTCTCTCCCCTTGGAAAGACACCTTCGGAAAAGCAAAGATCCGTTCTTTGCTCTCAGCATCAAAAAACACCACCCTCCCGTTCTCATAGTCCAAGCAGATTCGTATCCTCCTGGGGACACTGCGTAGAGTCAAGAAGGTCAGATCAGGAGAGGTACAAGCAACACACTCACCATGGTCATGACACAGAGCCCATATCCCCTTGTTGGGATTCAGGTCCAAAAAAACCTCCCTTGGCACTGACTCCTTGACCACCCCAACGGCCCAAAAGCCCTCTCTACAGATTTCCACATCCCAGCGGTGCCACCCCGATGTGAAGCCCCTCGAGCCCAGCACACAGGGATCGATTTTGAACCTCCCTGGGTTGGAGGGCAGGTCCTGCTCACAGCCTTCCCACCGCACAAACTTGCAGTCTTCTGAGAGATAAAGTCTGGCGTTGGCTGTCTCCGGGTCTAGCGTCATCCCTGCTGGAGATGGAGAGAGAGTCAGGCTCATTGCAGCAGACATGGGGGGCAGAGGGTCAGTTCTCTCCTTTCCAATCCCTCTGACCCAGTTGGGACCCCTCCAGGCATCGCCTGATGGTGGGACCAGGATGGGAGAAGGGGGAAAGGAAACAGAAGAAAGTTAGGTCAATCTTTGGGGGCAGAAGAGCTTCTTTTACCATATTTTTGATTTCATATGATGGCTTGGTTGGGCACGCATTCGGTTCACTTACTTGTCAAGGGAAGTTCGAACTCCAGGAAGTCTAGAGGAAAGAGAAAAATGTGAGAGGCAGAAAGATCAGTTGGCCTGATTGTGGGTTTCTGCAAAAGTCCAGAGAGTCAGGAACAGGTTTTGGGGAATGTCAGGAAACTTGAGGAGGCAGAGGAGAAGAGGAGGAGGAGGACAGGCAGGGAACAGCAGACCATTGTGGGATCTTGAAAGAAATAACCCCTCATTCAGCACCCAGGATGCCTTTCTTTCCCCTGGCTTCACTCCATCCCTCCCCACCAAGAAGCACGATGGCATTTGCCTTTCTGGACCTGGCCTCGGTACCTTGGAATTTCTCCAGAAGTTCCTTGATGGCTGCGGATTTCTCAGTGAAATCAGAGAATTTCTTTTCCAGCTGCGGGGAAATCTGGAGTGAGTGGGAGAGCGTTTCCCTCTGGCCCCTGGAAGGGAAGAGGGGATGGATTTACACCTGGTTGGACTTTGCTGCTCCGTGTTTTCTCAGCACTCCCTGCTCCAGCCTCCTGCCAGCCCGTGTCCAAATTCATCATTCATTCAGGAGAGAGAGGCAGAGCCCTCCTTCCAACCCCCCGTGGCCTCGGTCAACTCCAAGGGCTGTACTGCAGAAGAGCCAGCCTGTCCCTACGTGCTTTCTCCTGCTATACTGCCACAGAGCTGCTCTGTGGTGGTGACATGGTGACAGGAGAAGGACCACATACCTGCTCAACGTGGTTCCAATGTCCTGGATGAGAGAGAAAAAGAAACTCAGTGAGATGGAACACCTCCCCTTGGAGTACCGGGGTCCCACTCTAAGGAAGTCCCTCTTGGAGCGGGTTGGGGGAGACAAGCGAGGGCTGGAGACCAAGCTCAACGGGGGCCTTCACAGCAAGTTTGGAAAGCCTGGGCTCTCACCTTCAGGAGCTCCAAGTCTGGCTGCTGGTATGTCCTCTCCACCTCCCCAATCAGCCTGCCCAGGTTTGTCGTCTCCTCCAAAAGCTTCTGGAGGATTTCTTCATGTGCGTTCATTATGTCTGTGTCCAGCTGGTCCAGCTGGGCCAGAAAAGAGGACTCCTCCTTGTCTAGGATCTCATGCAACTTCGTATATGTCGTCACAATTTCTTGCTTTGCAGCTGCTGTCCTCTCCTGCCAAGGGCAAGCCGAAGCGGGGAAAGGGAAGCAGAGAGCAGGAGAAAAGCATCAAGAGTCAAGGGTGGGCCATGCCTTCATGGGACCCACCAAGAAGAGGCATTTGGGGAAGATACTAACCCCCTCTCCCTTCCCCTCACCCCTTCAGCATCACTCACCCCTTGGGGAAAGAAGGAGGAGATGTTCCCTCTTTTTTCCCCCACCCTCTGCCCAGGAAAACTGATGGGCACCTACAGTGTGGTCCTTGATTCTGTCTTGTCTGTCCTTCACGGAAGATTGAAGCGCCTCTTGCTCTGATTTCAGAAGGTGCAGTTGGGTCTCAATTTGTTTCTGAGAGGAAAGAAAGAAGTCCCCTGTGGAACGGCATCATGGTCTGGCACCCTCAGCAGAAGCAACAGGGAACTCTTGACAGCTCTTGGGCTAAGTGTTGGCAGAGTTTTGAGACCCCCATGACTGTTTCAAGGTGATTTGCCTCCCCCCTTTTTTCCTTTTTTTTTCTTTTTCTATTTTCACAAAGGTCAAGCTGCTTCCAGGGAGCTGTAGGGTGGGAGAAGGGCTGAGGATCTATGATCTTCAGCAGAGCTGACCTTGATAGGGGACCCACACCCCAGAGCAGAGACCCATTTACAGAGTTTTGTGAAGCGATTGTGGTGGGGAGAAATCCTACGCCTCTGGTTCCTACCCTCCCCTAAGCCCCTCCTCATGGATGAACCCTGGGTGAGAGGACCCCTTGGTCCGCAAGACCATTGTGCTCCTACGTCCACCTCTTCCTCAGGGCAGGCAATGCCACCTCAAGAGTTGGTATCAAGAGACAAGGTTGGATGACTCCACAGGGGGTTTATCCCACAGGCCAAAGGCTCTACAGGGATCTCCACCCATCAACAGCACCAACACCAGGAGCTTCTGTCCCTTTGTACTCAGCACACCCATAACCCCCTCACCTTGTACTCCTGGACAGCCTCGTCCATGGGAACCACAGAATGGTTACGGTGCACCTCAGACCTGTCACACACCACACAGATAAGCCTTTTGTCATCTTGGCAGAAGAGCTTCAAGGGTTCCTGGTGTTTCTTGCACAAGTTCTCCCCTCCTTCCACTTCTCTGTCCTGTTGCAGGTTCCATCTCTTGGCTGCTTCACTCATGTTGGCCAACTCCCTGTTGGGGCAGAGGCTCATCTGGTCCCCCGTCTCCCTGCACTGGGGGCAGGAGAAGTTGGTGGTCAGTCCTTCCCAGATCTGAGTGATGCACGACTGGCAAAAGCTGTGTCCGCAGTGGATGGACACGGGGTCATGGAATATTTTCAGGCAGATGGGGCAGTGGGCTTCATCCTGGAGGATTTCCAAGGCGTCCTGGCTGCCATGAAGTGACTGCGGTGGTTTCAATCTCCAAGTTTGTTTCAATTCTAAAAAAAGAGGAAGGAGAGAGATTTCCTGATTCTACACAATAGGTTACACTGAGACCCAGCCCCTTCCCAGCAGGGCTTCAGGCCATACATGAACTTATATTGCTCCAGGAAGTAGTGGTTGGACAGCTGAGGAGGGCGGGGATTGGAGACGCCCATCCCATTTTCACCCTTTCCTGGGGAAGCAGGGCATAAGAGACCCAGAATGTTCTTGGAATGCGTTGATGATAACTTTCTTCTTCAAATGATTGAGGAGCCAACGAGTAAAGGAGCTATGTTGGACGTTGTCCTTACCAATGAGGAGGGGCTGGTGGGGAATGCCAAGTTCAAGGGTAGTGTCGGCTGCCGCGACCATGAAATGGTAGAATTCAAGATCCTTAGGGCAGCGAGGTGGGTGTTCAGCAAGCTTGCTACCTTGGACTTCAGGAGAGCAGACTTTGGACTCTTGAGGGATCTGATTAGGAGGATAGCATGAGAAAAAGAACTGGAGGGGAGAGGGGTCTAGGAGAGATGGTTGGTATTCAACGATCACCTCCTCAAAGCTCAGGAGAGGTGCAGCCCCAAAAAGAAGAAGTCAGGCGGAATAGCCAGAAGGCCTGCATGGATGAACAAGGAACTTCTGGACAAGCTCAAAACCAGAAAAGAGGCCTATAGAGGGTGGAAGCAGGGATGGGTAGACTGGAGAGAATATAGAGAAACTATCTGAGTGGCCAGGAACCAGAGCAGGCAAGCAAAAGCCCAGGCAGAACTACATTTAGCCAGGGATGTCAAAGACAATAAGAAAAACTTCAACAGATGTATCAGGGATAAAGGCAAGACCAGGGAAGCTGTGGGCCCTCTCCGGAAGTTCGTGGTTTTTTGGTTTTTTTGGTTTTTTTGTTTTATTTAATTAAAATATTATTAATTCTCGTGGTTGTTTCTTTCCTGCTGGAGGCAGCCCTGTCCCCTCCCCTCCTCGCCCCCGGAGACATCCTGGCTTTGGGAGCATTGGAGAACACGGCTGGGAGGGGGCTGCTGCAGGAGCCTCCCAGAAGCAGCCAAAAGCAGCCGTGGGCATGAGCTTTGCCCTTCCCTGGGTGGGGGGTCGCCATCACCATCTCCCCTTCTCCTCGCAACCCTTCTGCCTCCGCGCTGCTGACACAGCCGCCCCTCGGGGATAATTCAGAGGTATTTGGGGATAATTCAATGTTTAAAGAGAATTCAGAGGCATTGGTAAGGAATTCAAATGACCTATTTTTTTTTTTTAAGACTTCAGAGGTATTTGGGGATAATTCAGAGTTTTTTTGGGAGCAAGTCAGAAGCTTTTGGAGTAATTCAGAGGTATATTGGGAGAATTCAGAGGCATTTGAGGAGGAATTGGGAGTTCTTTGGGGAGAAGCCAGAGGTGTTTGGGGGTAGCTGAATTATTGTGGGAGAACTCCGAGTTCTTGGGGGAGGAAAAGGAGGGTGTGGAAGGGGCGGCAGCAGCAGGCGCAGCCCCCGCTCCGATCCCCTCCCGGCCACGGGGAGCCCCGAGGCGGAGGGGGTGGAGCGGACCTGGTTGGGAACCGCGGCGGTGCCCCCCCCGCAGCGGGGCGTGCTGGGTCGGACCTGATGGAGAACCCCCCGATCGCTCGCCTCCGCCGCTGGCAGCGCTTTCCCGGCCCCGGCGCCCCAAGAGCCCCGAACTGGGGGGATTTCGTGCCGGCGCTGGGGGGAAACTCCACGGAGCTGCCGCGCCTTGGCTTCGGCCCCTTTTCTAGTGGGGCCCGGTCTTCTCCCCGCCCAGCCTTACCCCCCCTCCCGCCCGGCGACCGCTGCCGCCCTGGGGAGGGAAAGGTGTTAATACCGCGGCTTCGGGGGCCCAAACCCCACCCCAGGTTTGCTCCGAACACGATCCCCGAGCAACGGGACTGAAAGTGTGGGATCGCTTCACAGCCTCGAACAGGGTTCCTGAACCACAACTGATTTCAAAATGATTTTCACCCAAACCCGCGGGGCTGGGGCCGGGCGGATC